CCACCTTCCTCCATCTCCCAAAAACAAGAACATTAGAGGGCTGGGATGAAAGCAAGAAGACAGATGCTGTCCTCCTGAGAAGTGGCCCTCTTCCCCAGCGTTGGCCTTAAAGGGAAGGAGAGGATAGGTATGGGAATCTGAAAACAGAGAAGCTGGCCTTGATTCCTATCTGGCACCCAGACGTCATGTTGGTGTTCATCATACCCCCATAGCCTGGGAGCAGAAAGCAGACTGTTATGTGAGAGGCTGACAGCAGAGAGGGCATGATGTAGCCACCTCCAGTTCTTAAGTCTCCAAAGCAATGTGAAGAAGCCCAGAATTCCCTGTGTCTACAAGAAGGACAATGAGTGACTGCCAGCCTGTGGATCCTGATGTTATCCATGCCATGATGAAGCTAGTTCCTGTCCATGATGGACAGATCGCCACTACCACAACTGAGGATCAGGCAGAGGCCAGCACCATGATGACAGCTGACACCCAGGTATCAGCTACCTTTTCCACCTCTAATGGCTACTCAATGTTGATGTCTAGATGCACAATTTTTATTGCTACTCAGACCACAGTGTTTAGACTCGGACACAGTCCTAGGAAAGAGGGGAATCAGAGGAAGATGGAACAGAACTGAAGAAAACAGCATGAATGGCACAGCCTGAAATTGGCTTGACTAATTTAGCCAGGAGGGGGATGGAGACTTTTGTAGAGATTAAATCAAGTTACAGAAAATAACAAAGTAGAGAGGCATTTCTGGTACTCGTGAGGTATATCACACTATGAAGAATTGCTGTGTGTCTGAATCCTTGCTAGATTATAAATTCCTGATGGCATGTTTTGTATCTTATGCATTCCTGCTTCCCCCAAGCCCAGGGTTTACACATTGTGGGCCTGAATGTCGTTTGTTGAATTGCTCTGAAAATGAGCTGAATTGGAGAGAGTGTTCTGGCATACCTAGGCTGTGTCCCCTCTTCGTTGCTCACCTGCTGTCACAGCTCCAGAAGCACAAATGCATTCTTTCATTCATGCACTCAGAAAACATGAAAATACTTATAGCATAAGTTGGAACTTAAGCTCTATGAATGTGAGCAGGAATGAAAGTGGAGATTTAAAATACTGCCTTGGTTTTTGCATGTTTTTGGCTTTAGTTTTTCATTTCCTAGAGTACTTTCCTACCTATCCTGTCTCAGTAGCTTCATAGCCACAGCAGAAATGAAGAAAAGCAGATGGTGTTAACTTTATTGGATAGGTGAAGAAAAGGAGAGATGAGTTGAGATTTGACAAAAGTGACACAAAAATTTGTGGTAGAGTTGGAGGTAAAAAAAAAAAATCCTCAGTTCTTTTGATTCTCAACCTGTATACTTGTAGGTAGAAAGACATCACAATGTATGTTTGGGTTAAAAGTGTAATCAGTCAATGGAAAGAGTTCCCAATGGCCAAAGTTAGAACAATTTGAGCAACAAAGTAAATCAAGTAGCATTGGATTATATTCCAAAAAATAAAATGAGTATCTACAAATCTACATTGACAGAAATAGTTGTTGAAATAAGTAAGTGGAGCAGGATAGCCAAATCATCCTGAAGAAAAATTTCAAATAATTTATGTAGACACTACATGCTCAAAGAGGTGGAAAATAACTCCTCATACCTTAATTGTGGACTGTGCATAGTAACTTCCTTCCTAAGGATACAGTGTATGAAGGAAAAAAAGAACACTTTGTAGAGGAACAACCTGAGGAACACTATCTCAGCCATGTGGTCAAGGTCAACATCAACAATTTACCATTGACATGACAGGATGAGAATGCAATTTAACTTTGTGGTCTCCCTCTCAAAAACCCATAACCTCAGATTAATTACGAGAAAAATGTCAGGTAAGTCCCAATTCATGGGCATTCTACAAAATACCCGACCAGTACTCATTAAAACTGTGAAGGTCATAAAAACAAACAAACAAACCAGATAAACAAGGAACTGTCACAGCCAGGAGAAGCTTAAGGAAATATGATGACTAAATGTAATATACTATCTTGGATAGGATCCTGGAATAAAGGATCCTGGATAGTAGGTACAATCTAGGGAAATATGAACAAAGTATAGACTTTGCTTAATAATACATTTACTAATTTTGGTTCATTAATTGTGGCCACCCTAATACAAGATGATAGCAATGGGGGAACTGGCCGTGGGGCATATGGGAGCTCGGAATTACATCACAACTTTTCTGTGAGTTTAAAATGAAAAGTTTAATAAAACTAAAATTAAATTTCAAAACAAGTATAATCAATTTATTGCCAGCATTACAAGGGAAGGGGTAAGGTGCCATTCAATTCTTTATTCTACTTTCTTATGAGTTTGTCAGGTGTATATTCAGCTTTAGTTGAGGTGCAGAAAAGGGTTGTGTTTGTGACACACAAATGTGGTCCAGGTGTCTGGCAGATCTTACATAAACACATTCTCACACTGTCATCTCCAGAAGCTTTGTTCTTCAAGGTCAGAAAGCATATGATCATTCACTTTGGGAATCTAGAACTTAAATATCTACCACAGCATCCAGTTTATTTTCTGACCCCAGAAAAGTACGGAAGACTGAGGCTCAGAACACCTTTGAGTATCAACTAAGTGCCATGCTGACTTAACTAACCTTTCTTATTTTCTGTTTCTTCCTCCATAAAAATGAAGATAATAATGGTCCCTGGAGTAGTATAAGGTCAAATGATATAAGGTATGTGAAAGCTTTCTGTGATCTAGAAAGGGCTTCAAAGTTTCATTTTGCAATGTCATTTGAGGAGACTAGAATAGTCTTTGAGGAAACTAGAATTCCTGCATTTTTTCTCCTTTCAAGCAGTACCCCGGTATATTCCCTCCCTCGATTCAGTTCAACAGACATCCATCAAGTATCATCGATGTGTTAGGCATACTACAAAGTGCCTCAGCCAGGTAATGACATCACTGGACAAGTAGGAAGATGGAGAAACTTGGGCTTGCCAGAATTCTCACACCAAGAGCTCTAAGAGGCTAGTTAGGTAGGGATAACAACTCACCAGAGGCATGCACCACTATAGTGCATTTGGTTGCTGGCAATTAAAAACCCAAACTAAAATGGCCTGCACAAGTTGTTGGCTCATCTAATTGGAAGTTCCAGATTTAAATGGGTTTCAGGATTCATTGTGTTTCTGTTTATTATCTACGGTGATGGCTTTATCCTAAAACTAACTCCAACCCCCAACCACCAAAGTACTGGGATGGCTACTAGTAGCAAGAAGAGCTCTTAGCTTCCTTCTTCACAATGGGTTTGGTGGGATGGGCATCTGCACAACGAAAGCAGCAAACCACAACCTTGACAACCCTATCTTAATTAATTAGCCACCCCTACCTCTAGTCTCTTGCTATTTCCTAATTCTGGATTATTTCCTTCACCATTTGAAATATTTGTAATTTATTTCAGTTATCATTTATTTGTATGTTTACCTGCTTATAGTTAGCTTCCCTTTTGAAATATAATCCATGAGGTTGTGGATTTCCTCTTAGTCATCACTGGTCCCTATACCACCACCTAAGGAGACTGGTTCCCTCAGTCCACAAGAGAAAGTTTGGGCCTGATGCAAGAGCTCTTTCTTCTCCGTTCTTCCTGTGCTCATGTTGCTTCCTGCCTGGATCCTGACTACTAAGTGATGATCAGTATTTTTCTAAAATAAAAAAATTCATGGGTGCCCGCTGGAGAGAAGTCTAACTAAAAGCAGTCTAAATAGGTATAGTTTGGGTAAAAACAGGACTGCTGACTAAAGGAGCCTAGGAAAAGTTGGGAAGATAAGACCAATGGAAGGATTGTCCTTGAAGTAGGAGGAAGAGCAGTAGTGATAGCAAAGTTGGTAGTCAAGGTGAAGAACAAGGAGGCAGGAGATGAATTGATCAAGACCGAGTCTGAACAGGAGGTAGGACATGACATAACTCCTTCTATCTACATTCTTGAACACAGTACCCACACTTTTGCATGTTGATGCTCCAAGGGCTCTGTGAAATATTAATAATAGTTCTTCACATTTTAAAATGTTCAGAACATGTTCTCAGACATTATCTCAGCTCATCGTCACAGCTTTGCGGTAGAGTTGGTTTCATTATTCCTCTTCTGCAAGAGGAGAAAGTAAGCCTGACAGCAACTTTCCAAACCCTACACAGTTAAGAAGAGGGAAAGCTGGATGTACATATTCTCCTTGAAGTCTTGAGTTCATTTTATCTCAAATGCAGTTGGAAAACAAACTAATGTCCTGAATAACAATACATTTAAAACCCCTTGGGGCTAGGTTTTCTGTTTTGTATTCTTTTTCTGTTTAGAGTTAAATTGCTGTGAACTTTTGTATACATTTGAAATTTTCCCTAATGAAAAAAATTTTTAAATGTAAAAGACAAGAGTTGAACTGCTTGGTCAGCCCTTGGTAGAGTAAATCAGAGGAAGGCTAGGCCCTAAGTAAGTCAAGTGCTAAAAAACTTGGGCTTCAGTGCTTTAAGATTAAACTTTTAAAAAGAAGAGGAACATTTGGGAATAAGGAGTACAGAAAATCATATGCGTGTTCAGGCAGCTAAAAAAAAAAGCACAAAGGAATGATTTGTTCCCTCTGGGTTTTATATTCTCTCGCCAGATCCTTTAATTATACTTATATCCTTTTTTCCCAAATTTAATTTTCCCCAAAACTTAAATAAAGAACAGATGATGCCTCATAGAGGACTTGGTAAAATAGCCTTGCAAGTTATTTTGCCTAGGTGCAGGTCCTGACTTGTTCTCCAATTCAGTGTGATCTTGGGTTATTGACCTCCTAGGAGGTTTTAGTATCTCAACAGTAACATAGGATTTAGAACATTTGCCACTCAATGATCTCCCAAGAAAATTGAAAAGAAGGCGGGGTTATAGCCATGAATATGCTTGGAAATTTTTCAGATACATGCCTTAGGTTGAGAGACATTATCATTTGTTCATTTCTCAGAATCACCTGGGTTTGTATCCCTTGCTCCTTCTGGTCCTTCAAGATGTCACCTGGTTGATTTGGTTTGTTTGACATAACTTTCACCTCCTAAGGTGTTATCAATTTGTTCTGATGCATCAGGAAACAGAGTGGTCTGGGAAAGAGATACAATGAGTCTTTGGTCATCCATGGTAAGGGGCAGAAAATTATCTCAAATAGCAGATATCTTAAGGAGTATGAGTCATTTTATTTCACATTCTAATAATAATAGTAGTAAGGTTTTATGTTCTTAATTTTGGTTTTCTCAGGCTGAGCTTGGCAAGATGGGAAAGGTGGCTCTGATTCTGGATAGTGGGAAAGTCACCTGAAGTTTAAGCCTGTCTCAAGAATTTCCTCTCTTTCATCACATTGGAAAAGTTCAGTACACATGCTGATGACTTATGAGACAGCTTGGTCTCCTTGCTTCTTGTCTTCTGGATAATACTGATGTTCTCTCAAAGAGTACTCCCTTTGATGTTGCTGACCATCAAATCTTCCTTCATTTCTTCCTTCAGTCATTCCTTCACTAACTCAAGAAGGCAGTTCCAAGTGACTCCTACATGCAAAAGCACCTTAAGAACAGAGGTACAAAGATTAGATACTTTTCTTTATCTTGAGGTCTCTTGTGGGAAACAGGTAAATAAAGTACAGTGTGATTCATGACTAGCAAAATAGAATGTCTTAGGAGAATGTAAAGTAAACCCAGGTGGTCAGAAAAGACTTTTAGGAAGCGATACTTGGACTTGAAGGTAAGTTAAGAATTCTCAACGTGGGTGAATAAAGGTGGAAGTGGGGGTAGGGAAGGCATTCTGGGAAGGAAGTACTATGTGCAAAGCCAGGGAGGCAAGAAAAAGCACTGGCATATTTGAGCCAGCAGTTTGATGGGCTGTGTAGTGATTAAAGATGAGTTCAGACAGGTAATCTGGTATCAGATCCAGCACTGGGTTTAGCCTGAAGCAGAAAGAAAACCACTTTAGAGAACTGAATAAGATTCCTATTTTAGAAAGAGCAGCCTGGCATAAATGTAAAGAATGAATTAAAGGTATGTGAGACTGAAAGGGGGGGTGGTGTAAGCAGAGACACTTGTGGGAGCTATCATAACAAACCACCAACTGAGAATGGGTCAGGACCTTAGTCAAAGCAGTGTCTATGGGTAAGGTATGGGTCTAGAGAGACATCTGAGCAGAGACTACAATGGACTTGGGAACCTCAGAATGTGGAGGAAAGATGTAAGGGTGGAAAAAGACTAGAGTAATTCTCAGGTCTTTGGTTTAGAGATTTAGAAATCTAAATTATATAGATTTAAGACTGTTGGTTTACATGGTAAATATAGCAGGCAAATCAGGTTGTGGAGAAAAGATGATTTATTTGGTTTTGAAAAGTGTGTGCGGTGGGACGTGATATGGAAAGAGCTGGTAGATAAATGGGTTGAAGCATCTGGAATTCAGCAGAGAGCTTGGTTTGGAGCTAAAGACTGTCATCATAGATGTCAGTGAGGTCACCAAAGGAAAGCTGGCAGAGAGAGAAAATAAGACAGCTGAGGATGACCCTGGGAAACACAAATATTTAAGGACCAGTAAGGCAGAAGTAACCAGGTGAGAAGAGTGAGAAGCAGGGGTAAGAAATGCACAGGGGAAACTAGGAAGCAGTCAGGGAGGCCAGGGCTGAGGGGATATTTAAGAGTAGACAACGCTATCTAGATTAAGTATGAGGAAGGCCAAAAGTGGGGAGAGAGAGGAGATGGGGAGGAGTAAGGCCCAAGCAGCCAAATCCTCCCCCACAAAATTAGACTATTCAAGATTCTTGAGAATACCATGGCTCATGTTTAAAAACTGATTATTATTTTTAAACTAACATTGAGAAAAGCCTTAGATAGGTCTAAGGGTGCCTTTCATTATGAAAGCAATCTGGTCTTTGCCCTAATCCCTAGCCAAGGACTATTTCACACCCAGCAAAGCACCTCTGATGAAAAAATAAGTGTGAATGGAACTTAGTATGTGTTGATTATCAGATCCTAAACTGGACAGTACATGTAAATAATCCCACTGTAGCCCTTTGAGGCTAGAAGCATCTTTTCTCTTAAGAGAAGGAAATCAAAGTTACCTGCTTATCTGTTTTCTTTCCAGTAGTCCCTAGGGCATAATCCCCAAAACAATTCTGTGGAGAGCCTTTTTAGCTTGCACTGGCTCAAGCTTCTAACACTAAGTAAAAACAAAGGCGTGGGCCAGATGTAGGATGCTATCTTTATCATGGAGGCATCCATGCAAATAGTTACATCAGTGGGTAGAAAATACAACATTGCTTTCTTTCAAAGGAGCACAGGGCAGGTGCACTGGGTGGTGGGGGAGTATACAGGCAGGAGTAGAAGGTCAGCCAGAATGACTTCAGCTTTCTCCCTGTTGCTGAGTGGCAAATCCCGCCCCAACAAAATTAGACTATTCAAGATTCTTGAGAATACCATGGCTCATTTGTAAAAACTGATTATTATTTTTAAACTAATATTGTCATAGTATTTTCCTACCTGTGAGGTTGCTAGTCTTATTATCATCATCTGCATTTTAACAGTAACTGAATTGAAACTCAGGGACTGGACTGTATACTCATGGCTATTTAGAAGCCAGTATTCAATTTAGCATTCTGAATCACAAAGCTGGGATCTTTGTAATACTTGAAATATGATGACTTCACAAGAAATCCTGCCCCTAATAACCACCCCACACATGTGCCTTACAGTGGCTTAAGATGCCCTATGTACCCTGCAATTTTCAGTATCCCTGTTAAAGAAAAAATAATTCATGACATATGTTAAGAATGGTAAGACAGACTTTATTCAGAGAGACTAGTCAACTCAGAACACAAGAACAAGTGGAGATTTATAGCCAGAGCTCTGCATGGGGTGGGTGGGTATCATGGAATAGAAAATTACTAAGAGTTGACATCAAGGCTAGGCACATTCCTGCTGAAAGTGGTTGAGAGATAAGGAATTCAATCAGCTGTCCACAGTGGGGAAGTTTTATGCAAATGACCCAGTAGCAGTTTTGCTAAAACTGGACTAAATGGGATAAGAGAGCCCAAGGTCAGGGACTACTCAGGAAGACTGAGAGGAACCTGACTCAAGTCTGGTCAAAGAACAGTCTTACCATCACATGACTGCTCTCACTCGCACACAGTGCTCATGTCAGGGTCTCCTGTGCCAGGCTCTCCCGTGGGAAGGCCTTTGTACTGCCGGTAGCCTCTGCCTGGAGGTTTTTCCCAGCAGGCATCTGGCTGGAGCCTTTTATCTCTTGAATCTTACTCAATTATTCCCTTCCCCATGAGCCCCAAGGCCTTCCCTAAACTGCTGTAAAATGAGCATAGGTCCACCCCACCCTTGGCATTCCCCATGCCTCTTTCCTAATCAAGTCTGCTGCCTAGTAACCTAACATATTGTACATTTTCCTTGTATATTTTGTTTATTGTCTGTTTCCTTCTGCTAGAATGGCCGTGCCATGAGGCAGGGAATTGTGCTTGTTTTGTTTACTGCTTAACATCTAACACATAGGAAGAGCTCTCTCTTAGTTGAACAAATTAGACACCTGGATGAGGTCTCTACAAATACCCTCAGATCTTGATTACATAATAATTCTCAACATTGGGTGACCTATCTGACCCATTCATAATGTATTTTACCATGCTTTTTTTCAATTTTAGTTCAGTAACATAGCAGGTAGCTCTAATGAATCATAAAGTATTTGCCTTTTATAAGAATTTTATGGAGGTCTGTGGTTGTAAAGGGTAGATAAAAGGCAAAGAAGTCTCAAAAATTTTGAGACAAAAAAAAATCCTTCTAGGATTCAATTGTCTAGAAAAGACTTATCTGCATACAAGATCACTTTCCTCACTCCCCCACATAATAGATGTGTCAATATGTATGTAAAACATGAAGAATGGACCAGGCCCTAGGGACGCAATCAATATTTGTGGTTATTTTGTCTCCCCCTGGAGACATCATGCAGCTTTCTTCCAAGTACACTCCATCCTGTTCTGGAAGCTGCTGTTTCTTATGCCATACTTTTTCCCCTACCCTGCCTCCACACACTGTCCCCTCACTTGTCTCCCTGTGATTCTGTAGGAAGGACTTCTGATTCCCTTCTTCCACAGTAGCATCCAATATAAACATAACATTATCATCATTTATTTGTTCCCATGTCCTCCCCAGGAGATTGTAGGGAGTCTGGAGGGCAGAGACCTACTATACTCAGTTCTGCATCCCCAGCCACTACCACAAGTATGACTCTCCATGGGACTGGGATAAATGATGGAGGGACCATAGACATCTCAGACACTATAAACAGGAAAAAAACATCTCAGCCCAGGCAAGTGTTTCTTCTTCATCACCCTTTGCCTGGGAGGATAAGTGAATCCTACTTTCAATGAACTTGACACACTGAAAGAAAAGTGCAGCTAAAGTAAAAGGTGATTCATTCATCCATGGGAACTGCTCATTTGAGGTCAGAGTTCACCGCAGGTTCCTTTAAAGAATGTGCTGCCACAGTGCCCTCAAAATAAGAGATGATTTTCAGACTGGTAATTTGAATTCAGTCTAGCAGATGCACAAAAGCTAGGTAATCAGCATGACTTCCTACTTGCCTACACACATGCTGTTATGCTCACTGGCCATAGGCATCTATCTATAAAATGCCAACAGATTGACAAAAGCTCACTAAGTCATCAAACCAGGTTAAGGAAGTGAGACCTGAGCAACAGGTTAAGAGGACTTTATTTCATCTTCTTTTTTTTTTCCTTTTCATTATAGCTCCTCAATACCTAGACCAGTCTCTGGCATACAGGTGATACCTGACACATGAATGAATATGTAGAGACCCTACATCATGGGGAAAGAAACAAGGTGATGGAATCATAGTACTACAGTTGGAAGGAACTCCTTATTAAGGCTACTAAGGGTCCATGACATCACGTGAGTACCCAAGAGGCAAGCTCAGGTAACAACAGATGGCAACCAGATTGTCCAATTTGAGATTGTGGGTCTAGTTTACCGAAGGCCTTTTGTGTTACTAAGTGGACTGTGCAGCTTCCCACCTGGTCACAAAAGAAGTGCTCTAGCTTCCTCTTTTTCTACCTGTTCTCCACAAATAGCCTTTAAAACAACAACAACAACAAAAAACTACACAAAATTTTTAGAAAAGCCTAGAGTGGCCACAGGCCTCAGTTTGGCCTTGGCCATCATTTGATCCAGAACCATTTTTAAGAACTAGAAAATGCAAAAAACACTTTTAAGAGTTCCTTCAGGTTGTTTCTACATAAAAAAACTACCCAGGCAGACCATAACCATAATTTTAAAAAGGTTCATCATTATCAACAGGAAGCTCTGGAATATTTTACCTAGTGCTAATAATACACTAAGAGTATATGAACAAAACACTTTCAGTATATTTATTAATCCTTATGACCCGTGCAGAGGGAATATACCCCTTTTACAGACAGGAACTGAGGCTCAAAGTAGCTTCCCTAAGCTCACCCAGTCAATTTGTTACACAGGCTGTCTGATTCTATGCTGACATCACACATAGTT